GAGACAGGTACCTTAGACCGTGAACCACAAAAGCCAGCATGCTAGACAGGGAGCTATCTAAACTAGCCAATACATTGGGAGATGCCAACAACTGGGGGGTGTGCTAAGCCCCACCTGTCTCTCAAAGATAGCAAAGTACAGGCTGCAGGGAGGTTACGCACCAATGCCATTTTAGCCAAAAAACTTGGCAAGAGGGGGTCCCTCATAACTTTTAGCCCATTGAACAGGGTACTCATCTGGGATGTGGGACACCCCCAATTGAAGTCCCTCCTCCACCTGAGCAGGAGAAAGAATTTGAACTGGGATCTGCCAACAATCAGATAAGTACATGAACCACTGGGCTAGGGAATATTCCAGTGCTTGCATTCCCTCAATCTCTCTTGTTGAAGCTGCTGCCCTGTGGATAAATAATTGAGTGACTGGGGTAGGGGGACTGGATCTGCTTCAGAAGTCACATAAGTAACGTCAGACTTTTGCCATGTGTGTCCCATGAATAATACTGTGAAGTCTGGGTGCGACTGGAGCAAAAACGACTTTAACGGATAGCAAGTCTGAAAAGGTTTAGTTCACAGACTGGCGAGGCAAAAATAAATAGAAGACCCCTGCCCCACCTCTCACCCATCTTCCTCCCACTCCCTCTCCCCAGAGCAGCTCCTGTTGAAGCTAACTGAAGTGCGCTAGGGCTCTGTCAACAGTCCACCATCTGGCCCAGCTTCTTCTCTGCTCCCAAGCCACTCAGCTCAGCCACAGTGCATGTGGGGGCCTGGCTTCTTGATGCCACCATGGAGCATCCATCTCCCTGTTCCATCATCATCCTAAGCATACATATTGCCTTCTGATGGGTGGGAACCCAGCGAGGGGGAAAACAGCAAGAAAAAAATACCATGAGAACAAAAAGATACAGAAAATAACAAAAGAGGAAAAATGGAACCGAACAAAACAGGAACTACAGGGAATTAACCATCAGATATCTTTCCAAAATATATACTCTAGGTTTAACCAGATGTTACGGTCTCGGTTATGCAGGTGAGACGGGAAGTCCGGGATCCCCATCCGACAAACCACTGCAACTGAGACTCCAACAAAAAAAGGGTTGGAACTTACTTCTCTAAAAGATGCCATTCCACAGAGACCCGGGGGAGGATGGAGGGATGGGGAGGAGGGGGTATAATCCAGGAACAGTTCACAAGGCGCATTGTGTGCATGTGAAACGTAACGTTCAATGGGATTGAAACAGTCAGGGTGAGGAGGGCTACTTTATAACTGGCCTGTTCCACTCTGGTGGTGCTCAACGTTCAATCCTTTCTATTAGATATTGCAGTGTCAGAACAGTTTTTAGAAGTTTGAAAACCAAGCATAAACATTATGGGCCTACTCAGTGACAAAAGTCAGATCTCTCTGTCTCCCGGAAGAAGCCACTGTGTTGTTCCAAAATGAAATATCAACTGTTTACCCAACAGTGGAAGAAATGGTAGCAAAAGTCAGGTTTTCGTCACCTTTTTCTAATATACATTCTGATCTGCAATTTTTGTTGTTGTTCTGGTGGGGACTAGTTTAAATTCTGTCTGATTTACAACCTGAGATTATAAATCCTAAAGGTTAATCTTCCCCCTACTGGAAAGTGGGATTTGTGTTTCTACTAATCCCCCTCACCTCTTCCCACCCCAAAACCAGAAGGCTAGTTTTAAAATTTTGTTAGAAATGTAGATTGCCACTTGATAAGAACCACTGGTAAGACGGAGGACAGTTTTGGCAAACTAGTAGCTTCTCCTTTAAAATAAAAGCACAGAATAAAGATAAAAGAAAAGGAGAACTTGTGGCACCTTAGAGACTAACACATTTATTTGAGCATAAGCTTTTGTGAGCTACAGCTCACTTCATCGGATACATCGGATGCTGTAGCTCACAAAAGCTCATGCTCAAATAAACTGGTTAGTCTCTAAGGTGCCACAAGTACTCCTTTTCTTTTTGCAGATACAGACTAACACAGCTGCTACTCTAAAACCTGTCAGAATAAAGATAGTAATGATTAAAAAGCTGCCATTACATTGAATCCTACAGTGTCATGCACAGTTTTGACTTTCAGACTACTGAATAGGATACTGTGGTTTTTACTGAAGTGTAGCTATCCACTTCTTATCTGGATTAAGGAAAACCAAAACAATTTTATCTTGCTAGCCCTTTATACATTCGCAACTCTTAAAAATAAAAACAACCAAATTGCCCCCTCATTGAAACCAGATCTTCTTCATCAGTGTATTTTTCTATATTATGTACTTCTGCATGTCATACAGATGCAGAGATAATTCAGATTTTAGACAGCAGCCATGTGAAAAACAGAAGAAGTATCACTAACGTTTAAACATGAAGTAGATCACCAGAAAGGCTCCCTTCTTAGACACCACAGAAAAATGATATGTTCTTATAAACTGAACCAGATCTGTGGTTTTCAACTGCTCTCATTTTTTTTTATTTTGCCTAAGACACACTAACCATGTCGCTGAGTTTGCGGCTAAATGATGCAAAACAAATTCACCTTCATAAACATCCTTTTAAAGTAAGGTACACAGTTCCTCTTAAAAGTAACAATGACAGTATATTTGCAGAATCATTCCTGCTCTTTAACTCCTCCATGTAAAAGCTTAAAACTGAAATCTATTTTATTCATCAAACATATTCACCAGACCCTCAAGTATAAGCACACACTGGTTTGTTATTAAAGAATGTTCTGAATGCTGGGCTATCTTTTTGAGGAATCAAAATACTGAAGCATTTGGCTTTACAGGAAGGAATAAAAAACAGATGGACTTTGCAATCTAATACAAAATGTTTGGGCTTACTAAATCTGGGCTAGATACCGCAAATGCTACTGAGCACAGTGCCTCCTACCATGACTGGTCCCATTGAAGTAACAGCATCACCTTTAATCATCAAGATTTCAGCCATTTTAGCTTAAAACATGCAATTCAAAACATACTATGCAATTCAAAAAGAAAAGGTTCTGAAAATTTCCCACCTTGTGAGCATAAGCAAGATTTTAAAACATGAGATGCACCTACATGGAAAATTTACAATGACATGTAAGTTTTGAATTGCTAGGATTCACTCACTTTAACTAAACTTTGTATTACAATTTTACCTAGGATTTTAAAGAGAGACATCTTTTTAGTTTAAGAATGTAAAGGTTTGAGGAGATCTTTCTCCAAACTAAGATTATATTTTATTATTATTTTTATATTATATAAAAATAAACCATGCATGTAACGTCTCATACATTGTTCATGCTACACTAATTGTTTCTGTCTGAGATATGGGGGCTGCTGGCTGTGGGATAGGCTGCTTTTCCCTGACTTCTTTCCCTTCTCTTCCCTGCCCCCCCCCCAACAGACCCTAAAGTATCATTACCAAATATGGAGCAGGAGCGCTATAATGAATGTTAAATAATCTCTGAAAGGCATTCCACAGTGAAAACCTGGCCCCACTGAAGTCACTGGAACCAGGATTTTAGCCCAGTTCCTAGAAATTGAGCAGCTTTTTCAAAGCTTCACAGTAAAGAAGATTCCTTGTGCCATTTCCACTTGGCCCGAAGATTTCACTCAAAACGATGACAAAAACCCACATGAAAACCTTGGGTCTAGAAGGTTAAAATAAAATGTTGCCCCATATTTAGTACTTTGTTAAATTTGCCCAGTATCAAACAGAGCAATTGTTGGTATTTATGTAACAGCCTACAGTCACCCAGGGTTCCTCATAATTTAGTGTAACAATTCAGGAAATGCTTTTAGCAATTTACATGCTAGCCAAGTGGCAGTTAATCTTGGGATCAGATTTCGAGGCACAGTAGAGTAACCCCACCAATTCTCACCCCCACTGGTTCCTGGCTCAAACCCAGCTAAAGGAAACCTCATTGTATTTAACCATGAATATGTTCTCTTTAGCAATATTTAGGACGATCACAATAAATTTCCAAGAACCATTACTGAAAAATTAAAAACAATCAGAGGCTAACACCCACTTAAAAAGCCTTTTACTGTTAGTAATCCATACATTCATCTCTGCCAAGCTGTCTTGGGTGTTCCAATACCTGACTCAGAACCTGCTGTTGCTCCTGAATAAAGGGCTCCAAACTCACGTATACATTCCACCTCCACTTCTTCAGGATATCCTTTACAATATGCTTTGGGAGGACAAAGGATAATCGGATGCACTCTACTAACCTGTTACATAGTTCAGGAAAGTGGGAGGGGGAAACAAAACAGTGTCCTTCCTTGCTGATATGTTTTTTTCACCATAATTCACCTGCATAAGTTGTGACTTGAAAATATGTTCTCTTTTTACATGGAGACATATGCAGCAGCACCAATCCAAGTCCAGTGCTTCCCAGCCCTTGTACTCCCATTTAATCCTCTCACATTTGACTACAAGGAAAAAGCTTCCACAGTTCAGCAAAAGTAAAAAGCTAGAGAGGAGGAAAATTAGGATTGATTACTTAGCAAATTACTTATCTCCCTGCAACTTAATTTTCCTATCTCTAAAATAGGGATAATCATATCTATCCACCTTTTAAGGGTTTGGAGAGCTATGTATGAAACACTTTTAAAGTGCTAAGTACTATTAACATTAAGCAGTCTTGGCCATCAGGAGCCCATTGCACCAGTTCCACAAAGGCTACACTGTCTTGTTTGCTTGTGACTTCAATTCAGGTTGTTTGTATTAATTGTAAAAGCCCTGTATCCTCTGTGTCTTAAGAGACAGCCTCTCTCCCCCTATAAGCCATCATAACAGGCCCAAAGGGGAAGCATGGTCCTGTAGTTAGCATGCTAGCCTGGGACTTTGGAGAACTTCGTTCAATTCCCTCGTCCACCAGATTTCCTCTGTGACCTTAAACGCTCACTGTGTGCTTCTGCTCCTCATCTGTACAACATGGATAACAACAGTTCTCTATTGCACAGGGGTGTTGTGAGGATAAGCATATTAAAAATTGTGAGATTCTCTGTTACCTTAGAGAGATGTAGCCAGAGTGACTCTGCTGATCGCTGTCTGGGTTTGAAAGGCTGGGGACTGGAGGCACCTCGTCCTCACTTCTGGAATTTTCTACCCCAATGTTCCGCAGGATGCAGTGTTCATCTTTCTACCCAATTGAGAAGTTCACCCCTCTGCAGAGGGCCAACAAAAGGAATGGGCATCACTCAAGTCCTTCAGTACGTACCAGATGGAGCTGAAGGTGAGAATATAAGATTCAGGCTAATAAAAAAGCCCAACAATGTTCAACTTAATCACCACAGCCTAAACCCAGAAAGCAGGGCTTTCACATTCAGGAAAAGATGCATTCTCTTCAAGCTGTGAACAGCTGAATCAAGAGAACTCCGAATCCAGCAGCCTAGGCACAAAACAACTTCCCAGAAATTCTCTGCATATAAGTTCTTTCCAGAACATCTGTTATGTTCTCTCAGACAGTTATCAAGGGACAAGACGATTCAACTTATGCCTCATGATACTGTCCTTCAGCCTAACTGTGAAATCTACCAAGTGTTCTCATCAGCCCATCTCTGTTCCCTACCCTATAATGTTTTATGCAGTTAAACTGGTTTGCTTACTTTTTGCAAGACATGTTAATCAGATATATCTAAGGTTTGCAGGAAAGAAGTAAAATCACCCCAATTGTATCTTTTGTTTACTATATCTTTACACTGTCAGAGTAAAAATGATTATTAGTTTTGCTCTCATCTGCAGTGTTTAAAGCACAGTATTAACAAGCCCAAGTCGAAAAATGCACAAACATTCACTGTGTGGCCCCTTCTCTCTGAGTCAAAATAGCATTCAGCTCAGGCATTATCCCTTTGAGATGTCCCCTCTGGCAAGTACAAAATCCATTTCATGTGTAGGCGTGTTAAATATTCTCACACCCCCTCCAGGACACAAGTAAAATCCACTAGATCAACTCTGTACTTCTATTATGGTGCCCGAGTTAATAACTAACCCACAGCAATCCATGTCTAGAATATGTCTTCCATAGGAGCTGACCACTGCAGCTATGATGGACAGGATTTTCAAAAGGGTGGTAGATACACAGTGGCAAACTTTCTCAAAGTGCAGTCAAAATTCCTAAACAGATCAATTCCCTCTCCCAAACTGGAGCAGGCAGTTAAAATCCACCATTCACAAAATACAACCACCAAAAAAAGCTAATGAGCTGCCCATATGAATCATGGAAATTTTATCCATTTACCTCCCACTAATAAATACCAAAAAACCTCCCAAACGTACAGAACCCCCACACTGAAATGTTTGCTTAGAAATATATGAATAAGTTGCCCTTCCCTGGCTCCCTCAATCCAAAGACCTGGAAGCATTTTGCAATACCAAAGTGAAGCTGGAATATGTTATTGTCCCCATTTCTTACAGATAGGGAAACTAAGGCAGAAAGCTCAAAGACAGGAGCTCCAAGACTGTGGACAATGCCAGGTGCTTCAGAGGGAATGAACAGAATGATCGTCAAGGGATCCATCCTCTGTCATCTACTCCCAGCTTCTGGAAATCAGAGGCTAGGGACACCCAGAGCATGAGGTTGCATCACTGACCATCTTGGCTAATACCCATTGATAGGCACGTCCTCCATGAATTTACCTAATTCTTTTTTTGAACCCAATTATATTTTTGGCTTTCACAACATCCCCGGGAACGAGTTCCACAGGTGACTGTGCACTGTGTGAAGAAGTACTTCCTTTTGTTTTAAACCTGCTGCCTATTAATCTCATGGGGTGACCCCTGGTTCTTGTGTTGTGTGAAGGAGTAAACAATACGTCCTTATTCACTTTTATACACACCAGTCATGATTTTATAGACCTCTATCGTATCCCCTCTTAGTCATCTCTTTTCCAAGCAGAAAAGTTCCAGTCTTTTTAATCTCTCCTCCTACAGAAGTTGTTCCATACCCTTAATAATTTTTGTTGCCCTTCTCTGTTCTTTTTCCAATCCTAATATATCTTTTTTGAGATAAAGTGACCAGAACTGCACACAGTATTCAAGGTGTGGGGTATCATGGATTTATATAATGGACTTATGATATTTTCTGTCTTCCTATCTATCCCGTTCCTAATGGCTCCTAACATTCTGTTAGCTTTTTTGACAGCCGCTACACAAGGGCAAAAGGCCCTCTCCTCACTCTAGCACACCTGTGCTGGGTCAAGCATTGTTTGGCCCTATGCAATTCTGCCAAGGTCACATATTGAGTCTGTGGCAGAACCAGGACTAGAATTCAAACCTCCTGATTCCCAGTTCTGCATATTAACCACAAGATATTCCCTTCCCTGCCATTGACGGAAAGGAGGACTTCAGTACTAAAGCATCACAATCGGTTTAAATGACTTTGCTTTGATCTGCATTTAGGTTCTCAGAAAACACACTGGAGAAAGTTCTCTTTTAAAAGGTAAAAGCAGGAAAGATATTTTACTCTGAACAGTGTTGTCACCCTTGGAGTGCAGTCTGGGAGCTGTGGGAACCGTGGCACCCCTCCAAGACACACAGTTGAGTTGGGGACACAGCCAGCCTCTCTCAGGCCCTGTTATCATCCAAAACAACAGCAGGGCTACCTGAGTGCAAACAGCAGATACCAGCCAGTTTCCCAGCTACAGGCACACACTCCCCTCTGGAATATAAACCCAAAATTATACAGTCTTGCACTGCACAGATATCTGTACAGTGTAAGCTCATTAATATGTCCAACCCTCCCTCAATGTGGAGAGGAATAGGCACACTTGTGGTAACCAAGCTGAGATTTTTCCCCAGACACTTCACTTAAAGGTATACTGGTTTAGGTCAAAATATAAAACAAGTTTATTAACAATAAAAAGATAGATTTTAACTGATTATAAGTGACAGCAAACAGATGAAAGCAGATTACCTAGTAAATAAACAAAACCGCACACTAAACCTAAAATACTAGAAAGAATGAATTAGGGCTGTCGATTAATCACAGTTAACTCATGCAATTAACTCAAAAAATTAATCGCAATTTAAAAAATTAATAGCGATTAATCGCAGTTTTAATCACACTGTTAAATAACAGAATACCAATTGAAATTTATTAACTATTTTTGGATGTTCTCCTATATTTTCAAATATATTGATTTCAATTACAACACAGAATACAAAGTGTACAGTGCTTACTTTATATTATTTTTATTACTAATATTTTCACTATAAAAATGATCAAACAAAATAAATAGTATTTTTCAATTCACCCCATAAAAATACTGTAATGCACTCTCTTCATCATGAAAGTTGACCTTACAAATGTAGAATTCTGTACAAAAAATAACTGCATTCAAAAATAAAAAACAGTGTAAAACTTCAGAGGCTACAAGTCCACTCAGTCCTAGTTCTTGTTCAGCCAGTCACTCAGACAACTTTGTTTACATTTGCAGGAGATAATGCTGCCCACTTCTTGTTTACAATGTCACCTGAAAATGAGCACAGACGTTCGCATGGCACTGTTGTAGCTGGCACTGCAAGATATTTACGTGCCAGATGTGCTAAAGATTCATATTTCCCTTCATCTTCAACCACCATTCCAGAGGACATGAGTCCATGCTGATGACAGGCTCTGCTCAATAATGATCCAAAGCAGTGCAGACCAACACATGTTCACTTTCATCATCTGAGTCAGATGCCACCAGCAGAAGGTTGATTTTCTTTTTTGATGGTTCGGGTTCTGTAGTTTCGACACTGGAGTCTTGCTCTTTTAAGACTTCTGAAAGCATGCTCCACACCTCGTCCCTCTCAAATTTTGGAAGGCACTTCAGATTCTTAAACCTTGGGTTGAGTGCTGTAGCTATGTTTAGAAATCTCACATAGGTACCTTCTTAAAACGAACAACATGTGCTGGGTCATCATCTGAGACAGCTATAACATGAAATATACCGCAGAATGTGGGTAAAACAGAGCAGGAGACATATTATTTTCCCCCAAGGAGTTCAGTCAAAATTTAATTAATGCATTACTTTTTTTTAAAGAGAGTCATCAGCATGGAAGCATGTCCTCTGGAATGGTAACCAAAGCATGAAGAGGCATACAAACGTTTAGCATATCTGGCACATAAATACCTTGCAATGCCGGCTACAAAAGTGCCAAGCAAACGCCTGTTCTCAGTTTCAGGCGACATTATAAATAAGAAGCGGGCAGCATTATCTCCCAAAAATGTAAACAAACTTGTTTGTCTTAGCGATTGGCTAAATAAGAAGTAGGACTGAGTGGACTTGTAGGCTCTATAGTTTTACATTGTTATGTTTTTGAGTGCTGTTATGTAACAAACAAACAAAAATCTACATTTGTAAGTTGCACTTTCACAATAAAGAGATTGCATTATGGTACTTAAATGAGGTGAACTGAAAAATACTTTTTTTTGTTTATTACAAATATTTTTACTGAAAAAATGATTAAAATAATAATATAAAGTGAGCACTGTACACTTTGTATTCTGTGTTGTGACTGAAATCAATATAGTTGAAAACGTAGAAAAACATACAAAAAGAGTTAATAAATTTCAATAGGTATTCCATTGTGTAACAGTGCGATTAAAACTGATTAATCGCAATTCATTTTTTTAAATTGCAATTCATTTTTTTTAATCGCTTGACAGCCCTAATATGAATTAGCAATTTCTCTCCCTGACTGATGATACAAACAGGCCTGCAGATTCTCAAGGCACAAGTGGCACTTACTTTGCAGCTTGGGCTCCCCATCCCTGTTCCAAATCCTTTTCCTTAGGCGCTTCTCTTAGGTGTTGAGTTGTGGGGTAATGAAAAACAACAGATGATGTCACTCCCTGCCTTCTACAGCTTTAGCATATGGCGGAACCCTTTGTTCCAAAAACAGTTCCCAGCCCAGTTTGTGGAAAAAATACAGGTTTCAGAGAAACAGCCGTGTTAGTCTGTATTCGCAAAAAGAAAAGGAGTACTTGTGGCACCTTAAAGACTAACACATTTATTTGAGCATAAGCTTTCGTGAGCTCCAGCTCACTTCATCCAATGACGTGAGCTGTAGCTCACGAAAGCTTATGCTCAAATAAATTTGTTAGTCTCTAAGGTGCCACAAGTACTCCTTTTCTTTTTGGAAAAATACAGGTACCCAAAATGGAGTCTAGAGACATGTGGTCTGGTCAGATGCCCTCACAGAGTCGTAGCAGACATTACTTATAGGTTGGCCAAAACATCCACA